GAAAAAGCCTTGACTGAATAAGCAACCAGATATAGAGAAGTAATTCAGTAATGACAAGTCAGCCTACTGAACTCAGTTTAATTTACCCTTATTAAACCGATAATAATTTTGGAGACAAAATGAGAGCATTCAAAGCACTTATCGGATCAAACTATCACATCACCCAGAGGAAAGATTGGTAGAAACTTCTGCTTAACTTCTGCGTAACTGCTGTTGCCACTGAATTCACCACTATGCTGCCTAAAGGGGGAGTTTGCACATAGGATCATAAATGGGCAAACTAAAGGGAGGATTCTTTATACCAAAAACTGGTTTCCCATGGAGAATGTGAGAATAGCTTGGTTTCAACCTAGAACGATGTCACAATTTAAACTAAGCGATTTAACAAGCCAGGGAAACCCACACAGCCCTCCTATGCTGTAAACAATGGATCACAAACCACAATGGCTAGATTTCCGTATTTTGCTAAGCCAAACCCCAACAAATGAGTTCGAAGCAAGTATGAATCTTGCCAGCGGGGACGGGGCCTTCTTGATCCAGTCTCAAGTCCAACATTCCCCAAAACCCCCAAGAGAATCGTGGCTGCGTTGCCAGGGGCTCCTCTCGCCTTTGTGCACGATGCAGAGACGAGCCGCAGCGCTTGAGCGTCCATACGGAGAGCGAGCGCATCTGCTCCGGGTAGCCACCTGGATCCACCGCGCTCCTCTGCTAGGCAAAGGCGCAGCCCTACCGCTGTCAACCTTCACTGGCTCACCTGGGCTCCTGCTCTGCCTGCGTGACGCTGTGGCCGGGCTCGGATCCGTTACGGAGAACGGGGGGGGGGGGGGGGGGGGGGGGGAAGGATGAGGCTTGGAAGGACGAGGCTCTCAAGAGGGAAAGGAGCCCGCAGGCTCTCCCCCACTCTGCCCGCTCCGGTCCTGGGACTGGTGGGGAAGGGGAGGACGGAGGGAAGGAGGGAAGGGCGCCGAAGGAGGTCTTCCCCTTGCATACCACCCCGATTTACGGTTGGGGCTGGAAGAGAGAACCGAGCTGGGAGGTTGCAGGCCCCGCGCGTTTTCCGCCTGGAAAGGGCAGAGTGGGAATGAAATGGAGGATGGGAAGCCTCGGGAGCGGGAGGGGGGGAGGCAACCCTCGCCTCTGCTCCCCTCAAGGCCCGACCCTCGTAGCCCTCACCTTCTGGCGGATCTGGCCGGAGGTGGAGACTTTGCGGATGAGCTTCTGTGGCGAGCCGGATTCTTGCTCCGGCTCGCTGTCCGACGACTCTTCTGCCGCCGCCGTAGGGGCAGCGGCGGCGGCCCCGGCCTGGGGCTGCGAGGCGCCCGTCGCCGCCGCCGCTGCCGCCATGCTGCACGGTGAGGCTCGGGGCGGGCAGCACCACCTAGCGCCTCAAGCGGCGCCGTGCAAGCGCCGGCCCTGCGTGGGCTCAGCAGCAGCAGCAGCAGCAGGGGAAGAGATGCCGGCAGGCTCGTGGGCGGGCTGTGTCCGCGCCTGCCCTCTGGCGGGCCGGCCTCGCCTTGTCCCGAAGCGGCCGCCCACTCAGTGAGTGGGAGCTCGAGATTTCTCTTTCGCACTTGAATTAACGGACGGCATTTTCAGTTCGATGATTTAGACGCTGAGTGAGGCAGAGTAATTAATCTACGCCTTTAACTCAGTGTTTATTTCTCTGCCATGAATCATTCTCCACTTCGGTAACCTGAAATGATACAGATTATTCAGCCAGAGCACAATTCTGGCATTCACTGATAAGACAGTTTAGATCAGGTTGCTCCTCTGCCTACACAGTTACTGCCCTTGTGAAGTGGATTCATTCAGGGTACTTCCCCAGTCCCCACCTTTCTTTAAGTCTATTACAGTTTGGTTCTATTATGGCTTCTAATATACTGCTGCTTAACCAGGAGTAAATCCACTGAGTTGTCTCTCCAATATTGTGGAATCACAAACGTCCAGATTTAGCTTCATATTGGGAAAGAAATGTCACACAGAACAATTTCCAATGGGCCAATATATGCCATTATCCATGCTCATGTCCATGCTTTTAAGCCGTAACTTTTGAGGTGAGTTTCAAGTCAATGTTGACCCTTAAACTCAAAAGCATGCAAACTACTCAGAGCTTTCTCTCTCTCTCTTAACAGCTTTATTTATTATTTTAAAAGCACACATTTCTTATGTGAATCTGTGCAGCCAACAACAAATGCACTAGTAATAACACAGATAAATAACTATAACAGCCAGCAGTACATTATGATTATGAGGTCTGAGTCAAAGACTCTGAACATTCAAACAAATGCAAATATTACTATGCAGGGTCATCCAACACCTTAGCCCAAATTTTGTAGGTCTTTAAGGCCTTACAGAATGCCAGCCAAGTCCCATGACAGAGTGTCCTGAGTAAGTCCCACTAGAATACAGTGCCTCATACAGAGGACCTGAAGGATGCCTACTCTGTTGGGTCTGTTGGTATGGGCAGAAACAGTTGGAGATAGATGGTTCCAGAAATAAACTGGGTTTTTGTCATGGAGGGCTTTTCAGATGATTACCAGTGGAGGACTATTGGAAGTGCAGTTTGAGAAGCAGTGATGATATATGGGCAGATTGGGGCGTCCTCAAAACTGTCCATATTGCTGTATTGTAGCAGGACAATTGAAGCATCCCAATACTGTTTAAAAGCAGCCTCTGTAGAATATATTGTAATAATTTAAATGGGAGGAAACTAATGTATGAGTGACTATGAATAGGGCCTCCATGTTTTTTTTTTTTTAAAGACAATTGGTTTGTCTGTCTACACATAGATTTGTGCAAAGGCCCTCTTGGCCAAAGTAGTAACCTTCTTTGCGCAGAAGCTGTGAGTCCAAGTGGATGTCCAAGTTGCACACCAACTCTGCCTTAGGGAGTATAAGCCCATTCAGACTTAAGAATGCAAAATCTCCAAATTCCAGATGGCTCAAAACCCACAGCTACTTCTTCTGAAAATCAAATCAGCAGCCATTTAAAAGAACAAGTCTGCAAAATTAATTCACTTTGTTCCTATACTGTATCAACTCAGATATTTTGATGTAAACACTTGAACAGCATTTAATACATTTTTTTAAAAAAAATCCATGATTTGGTGCTGTAATATAGAGAATGTGAGATAATGGCTAAGAAATGTTGCTTAACCTGACAGAAAATGTATTGTTGCATTATGTGTGTGCATCCAACAGAGAGGACTGATATATCCTGACTTCCTTCCCACATATACTTGCAAGATATTTATATTTATTGAAGAACATTTGCTAATTGCTATTCACTTTACAATTTTATATGAACATACAGAAAACATGATATATAAAGTGACATTAGAATTTTTCCTTATACTTTCTTTTTCAAGTAAAGGCATGATTAGGATAAACAAAAATTATAATTCAGCAAGACAGATACTCTGATTCCTCTTCAGGTTCCCTCAAGTCATTTCCCGCTGGAATGCTATAGTTCAATTGTTATAATCCCTCATTCAGCAGGATGGGGGATGATAGTACTTGACATTCAACACAACTGAAATTCACAAAATTGAAGAAAGCTGCTTATAAATTCCCTGGCTATGTAAAATCAGTTTATAATTTTATAATAGAATGGGATCTACTTTCCCTACTGCAGCTAATTGTAATGGTTTTATTTTATCTCCAGTGCTCAATAAACTGCTTTTAAAAATGATAGGAGAACTGAATGATGGTGTGAGAAACCCTTATGCATTATTTTTTACAAATTCTGGGGAAATGGTGAAGTGCCAGGTGGCTGAATGTGTGCAAATGTTGATTCTCTGTTCAAAGGGGAAAATCTACCAAACTGCAAACCAAGCAGTTTGTCATCAATATGTGGGAAGATTTTAGAGCAGGTCATAAAGCAAACCTTGAAAGTAAAGCAGTAATTATGAGAAATGTGTAAGAACAAATTTTGCTTAATTAATTTCATCTCATTTGTTTATTGGATACATTTTTTAATAATTGGAATATATAGGCAGGGAGATAACTCAATTGGTAGTAGTACTTGTGAAGATGATAGTAAATTGCTAACTGTATATAATCCAACATATGTAGTTTTACTGCAAAAAAAGCAAATGCGATTAATGGCTGAGCTACAAAAATACAACTTCCAAATCAAGACAATTAATTGTGCCACTTTATTAGGCTTTTTTAGACCCACATCAGGTGTAATGTTGTGTTCAGAGATACTGGAGCATACTCAGAGAAGAGCAACAAAGATGATCAGATAACTAGAAATTAGATCCTATTAACACAAATTGGAGAAGCTGGATATGTTTAACCTTGAGAAAAAAGAATGATTGAGAGGGGGAAATAATTGCCTTTTTCAAAGTGAACATTAAAAAAAACAAAACAGTTTGACAGTGGAACACTTGTTTGGAGAAGTGGCAGGGTCACCTTAATTGGATGGGTTCAACTGCTAAATAACCAGTCTGTAGTTCTACATTTGTAGTGAGGCAAGAAGCTTAAGTGAAAAGACAAGAACCACGGATCAACTCAATTTAACTATTCTGTTTCTTAACAAATACAAAAGTTATGGCCTTTGCTAACTTCGTCCCTTCTCCCTCTTTCATTCAGTATTTGGATACTCCATTTTGCTGCCTTCTACAGAAGCTTCATCTTTCAGTTGCTGCCGAGCAAACTCCTCAAACACCAGGTCATCTTGGCCACTAATGAAAAGATAAGGATTCTTTGAATATCATACTTTCCTAATATTTGATATTAGGAAAGTCACTCTTTTCTTTTGCCATGTTTAAATGTATAATTTGTCTATTCCAGGAAGTGTGGAATGGGTTGCATCATTGTGGGCACGTCCATGCTACTAGCAGTTTCTATTTCCCAACTGTTCAAAAAGCTGTGATGAATCAAACTAGCAGCATAGGGAACAGAAGAGAAAGGAGCCAGAAGATTGGACAACTAAGAGATCACCCCCAGTTGAAGAATGGACAGATAAGAAGTTATGCAAAAGTGCTGTGCAGAGAGAGAGAGAGAGGGAGGGAGGGAGGGAGGGAGAGAAAGAGAAGAAGGAAGGAAGGAAGGGAGGGAGGGAGGGAGGGAGGTTTCCTGAAGTTTGGCTTCCAGATTTTATGTGATAATATTTTGGGCCAGGGTGATTAGCTGTAAAGAAGTAAAGATTCTCATCCCAGAAGTGCTCTGGGATCCTAAAATAATAAGGAAGGCTGTGTAAACTATACTTTATCTGGTATAGGCTGTTCATCTGAAAGTACCCAGAGTGAGCTATTGATACTGATGTTGGAGAGAAATCTGCAACAGAAGTCAAATCTATCATTTCATTCAACTGAATCCAGAGTTGAAAGGTATAAAAAAATCAAATACTCAGTTTCTTTGATTGTGGATCCCACATAGAGAGGCCCTTTGAGGCATTGTTCCAATAAGAAACTTGGTTTGATTGAGGCTTAATCCATTCTTTGTGATCTTCTATAGCTCTTTCTATCCAACACTCAATGGCCACAGTTCATTCTGGTTTTGCTTGGACTGACGTGGATGCCCAGAAAGACCAAAATCTTGTGTCTATTCAAAGACTCAGATAGATACATAACAATGAAAGGTAGTTTGACAATTGGCTTTTTGAAATAAATTTACCCTATGATTGGCAATGGTTATCAAGTTATATTTTCAATTTTATGCATATGGTTTATATTCTAGGTTCTGTGAGGTGCACTTTGAGAACTGTTGAGTATATATTTTTTGACATCCTATTCAATGAAGCAATAGACCTACAGAATGTCCTCAATTTATGGCCACAATTGGGACCAGAATTTATGTTGATAAGCAAAGCAGTTGTTAAGTGATCCATACCCAATTTTATGATCTTTTTTGTTACATTTGTTAAGCAAACCGCTGCAATTGTTAAGTGAATAACCTGGCTTCCCCCATCGACTTTGCTTGTCAGACTGGCTGAAGGCCAAAATTTATGTTATGTCATGTTATGTTACATTATTTGGGAAGTTCCACTAAACTCAGAGAAATTTCACTCTGAAACTTGAATCTGAAAAAATTAAGTTCCCACTCTTCTTCATCACAGATAATTCAGAAAGTTCTGTCCTTCAGGATACAGAATCAATCTTATCAGCTTCATTCCCACCTTCATGTGAATACGTAAGCGCAGAATAGGAAGAGAAAACTAATGAAATAATTCTTACCTTTCCTTTTCTGTAATCACATTGAAAAAAAAGAGAAAGAGAGAAGCTTAGCTAAACATGCTTCCACAAATATCTGAAGTTAAGAACAAAAAAGTAAAGAATCCAAGTGCCAATATGAGTGAGAAGAAAATTGCAATACAACAAAAGACAGGCAGTAGCAATTTATTCTGAATCCCAGAGACACCTGGTGATTTCCTATTATGTGACTGATATATTACCGGGATGGTCTCACAGTAACAGCCAGAAGTCAACATTACTGAACGTGGAGTTCTTTTTCGTTAGTCACCACTGTTCATTTAAACAGGCTGAACACAGCAGGAGTCTCTTTGGAGTTCTTAAAGCCAGCAAATCAACTGCCAGGTAAAGCTAGGCAGGAAGTAAAAAGCATAGTACATCCATTTGTGTGTTTTTGACTCAGTAAATTGCCTTTAAAACATCCAGAAACTGACATTTTGCACGGACTTAAGTACATTCAACCATCTGTCACAGTCAAAATGTTTCTGTCTTGGAAATGGGGGCCATTAACAAGTCTAAAAACACCAGGCCCTTGCTGCCACTCTTTGGCTTAATTTAGAGATGTCCTAATAAAGGAAGTGTGGTTGAAAATGCAAATAGTGTTTGTTTTTTCAGTAATTTCTGTGGAAGATTCTGTGAAAGAACATGCTTGCTTTAAAAAAAAAACTTCTTGCAGCCAGGTAACTTTATAATAATGTTATTTTTAACTTCTATAACTTTAATAAGAGTATAACATACATTAAGTAAACATATGTCAAATTTTCCATTGTTTATCTTCATGCCTTCAAGTCTCAAAGCTTGAACTAACACATTGTCACCAATCACAGTAAATTAACCCTTCCTTTTAACATACAGTATCTAGGTCTTTGTTGTTGTTGTTTACCTTAATTTCATACTAGCAAATGCACACTGGCCTCAAAACTCAAAAAGGAGCCTGGTGGCGCAGCAGACTGTTATTATCATTCAGCTGCCTGCAATTACTGCTAGTTCGAATCTCCCCAGGCTCAAGGTTTACTCAGCCTTCCATCCTTTCTAAGGTAGGTAAATTGAGGACCCAGTTTGTGGGGGCAATAAGCTGACTTTGTATAAATATACAAATGTATGAAGGCTATTGCTTAACGCATTGTAAGCCACCCTGAGTCTCCAGAGAAGGGCGGCATATAAATCAAATTAAAAAAAAAAAAACTTGTGAGAAGCATTCACTGCAGTATTATATAAAAATGAGCACGACTGCATGTGTTCACTAAATTTTATACAATTGACAATCCTAACAGTTAAGCTTACTGTCTAAGAATTAAAAAAGAAACCATACTGAATTCAATAATGCTAAATTCCAGAAAGTATGTTTTATTAATTTATCTATATTTCCTATTTCTAAATTGCCCATCTCCCTCAGGGACAGGCCCTGTTTCTAAATATCACATATTGATATAAAATGGTTTTTATATTTATATATTTCATTATCTTTTTATACTATGTTTATACCTGGTCTACAGATGGCAATTGAATCATAGTTTATATTATTATTATTATTATTATTATTATTATTATTATTATTATTGGTTAATCTTTAGTGAGATTCACAGCCTTTGAGGTTGGTTAATAGCTCAGCAGCTCGAGTCCTAACCAAGGACCTAGAAACTGTTAAGGTATCGTCGGAGGATGTAAGATGTTCTGAGTAAGGTGGTTTTTTGTAGAGTCAAAATGTTCAAGTCTGGTAAATTTAGAATTTCTAAAAAGCGGGGTAGCCCTTTGGGTATTGCCCCAAGGGCTCCAATTACAATCGGGACAACACACAATTTCTTTTTCCACAGTCGCTCAATTTCAAGTTGAGCAACTGCAAGTCCTGGTACTTTGTGATTTTTTCTTACTGCTTATTTTCAATCTGTGCATCACCAGGTATTGCAATGTCAATGAACCATACTTTTTTCTTTTCAACTATTGTTATGTCAGGTGTGTTGTGGACCAAGTACCTATCAGTCTGAATCCTGAAGTCCCACAAGATCTTGAGTTTCTCATTCTCTAAAACTTTCTCAACCTGATGTTCCCAGTGGTTTTTGCTGTACTCAAATCCAAACTTCTGGCACAATTTCCAATGAATGATCTTAGCAACGCGGTCATGGCATTGTAGGTGGCATTATTATTATTATTATTATTATTATTATTATTATTATTATCCATAATTAATACCATTAATTATGGGAAATAATTAATGGGAAATATATGGATAAGTATTTCAAAGATCCATGTACAATGGAAGTTTTAATTTCACCAGAACCATAGATAGAGAAGGTCCATGAGTGACTCCATATTTAGGGGGTGGGGCAGAATAATGGCATATTTGTCATGAATATACCCATATTCTTCATCAAATTACACAGGTACCAGAAAACACTAGAAGGGTAAATATACGGAATCCCAAAAAAAATATGTTTCTCTTGTCAAAGGGAAAATCTTCTACATTTCCACAGAACAAGAAGGCTATCACATCACCAAAGTATCACCAGCAATAAGAGGAGAATAAAACAAGAGCAGGAAGTAACCACTTGTATGTTACCGACCTGCTGTATTGGTCTCGTCTTGCATGGGGTGCATCAGACGGAAGGGCAACTCCATGCTCACATCACTTTGGAAACAGGAAAAAAGGGTGGTGATTCAGGATTCCACTGTTCCAAAGCAAATTCTGATCATTTCTTAGACGCCACTAAATCTTTTCTCCTAATTTTTCATCAGTATTTGAAAATGTAAACTAGATTACAGTACTGCAGATTGAAAGTAATCAGAACCTAAATAAATAAGCAAACTTATATTTTTACACACTATCATAGTTGCCTAAGATTTTAAGTTAGAGTTACTATAATTGTAGCCTAGAATATGTGAAATAGGCTCCCTTTGAATCTATTTTTAAATTTTTAAATCACAGATAAAACCCTGAAGCTGAAAAATGCAAAAACATGGAAATTATTATGTAAAACTCCAGGTGTGTGACCCATAAAAATTAGCAATGAATGACTTGTTTTTAAATATCCTGATATGCAAATATCAGTTTTTAAATATCCTAATATAGAATTCCAAATACAAAAATCCAATACCAAAATCAGTGTTGTGGTGAGTTATAGGCAAAATTTGGTCATGTGTCAAGAACTGTGCCTCACATTTCATAGAACATTTGTCTTTTAAATAGTATGCCTTGTCAGTCCCCTAGGTAGCTTATATATTAGTGTTTAAAAAAATAAATAAAAAATAGAAATAGCAAACTTAGAAAAAAGTACCCACTACACATCAGAGAGGGGGAAGTAAACTCTGATATATTTCAAACAATTAAAAAAGAATCAGGGAACAGGTTATAGAGGCTTAGCAGTGGGACGGAGCGGAAGTTTTATTTCCCGAAAAATCTGAAAACTGAAATGGATGCAGAGAAGAATGTTTACAAAGAGAAAATCTCAAAGATTTACCTGGAAGTGAAATCTCCCAGCAGGCTAAAACATAAACAGCATTAACTGTACAATGAAACTTACAATATTCCATAGCATACATTCTTAAGCTCAGAGAGCACCAAGAATTCCACAGTTCAATTCAGAGCTATACATTGTCTATCAGTACATATTCCTAAACTGATCAGTCTTATTAAAAGCTGTATATGCAACCCCAAATGGTGAATTGCTTTTTGGAACAATCCAACATTTCCACAATTCAGGTGTTCTTCATTATATTTAGATGCATATTCTATCTTCTATTTTACAATGCAAGATACATACGAAGTACATTTTCCATTTAATCTCCACAATATCATTTTTATGAATAGACTATAAAGAAATACTGAATGACCCCAATCATCCAGCTGCTAAATACTGATGATTCTGTGTTTCTTTGGTCTTACTTCAGTACCTGATCCATTATACTATATATTTGCCACCGTGTTTGAAATACGCAAAATCACAATTCAAACACACCTGGGACCATCCTACGAGACTGCAGATTTGCGTACTACCTCTTTCTAATAAATGATCATGCAAGTATACTAAAGCTATTTGATCTGGCTTCACAATACATATTGCTTTAACTAATAGTATCCAGACAAATTTAGAGCAACCAGTGGCATTTTACAGTCGTTCCTTGGTACTCGGCTGCTTCAAAACTCATCAAATCTAGTATTCGACACATTTTGATGTGAAAATGTTGTTCTGGTACTCGTTGTTTGTTTGATACTTGACATGCTATGATAGGAAAAGGGAGAAAGCTGAGGAGAATAGACAGGAGGCTGGCCGTGCTGGGAAGATCACTGACATAAGAAAAGAGATAGACATGAAGTGCTTCCTCACTGAAACAAAGAGTCATGTAGTAAGTCATGTGATTTGTTTGGCACTTGTTATTTTTAGTACTTGTTGCGCATCCTGAAACCAATTAACAGGTATCGAAGAACCACTGTAATTTATTGAATTTGAAAAGGCTGTTTAAAATTGCTCATGCAATTTATCTTTATTTCATAAAAGGCAATAACGTCAAAAACACTTGTAATTCTAGCATACCAACTCTGATTGCTCTTACCCTGAGACAGTAAGCTTCACCTTGACCTTGTAAGCAACCAGGATCCCTAGAACTGTCCGGTCTATTCCATCTTTTATACTGTTAGGATTTAAAAAACAAAACAAAATACTGTGTCATTGCACATTTGCTAAAAATAATGTAGTTCCTTAGTATAGCTGTCTCAATTATTATAATTATATTATATTCTATTCTCATATCCCATATTAATATTTCTACATTTTTAGGAACAACACTTACAGTTGCATTTACTGCTTAACACAGCATTCACCACTGTGCTGCTTTTGGATTTGTTTGAAATAAATATTATTTATTTACTAGACGCTTATGTCTATAAGACTACTAACATTGTACATATTAGCAGAAAATTCTGACAGTTAAATTCCTAAAATATTTGACACATGCAATAAAGGGGTAAAGGGAAAGTGGCTGAATACAAAATGAAACAAAAGTGTTTTTCTATATTTCCTCTTCAGTTCCAGTTAGTGTTCCATTTTGGACTTACATAGTAGAAGAAGCCAGGTTAGTGTCTTCATCCTTTAGTTTCCCATCTAGTGCTATGCCTTTCTTCACTCGATTGTTTGCCAACAAAGGAAGGACAGTCATTATCTTTGTAAGCTTGCTGTTTGGTTGGACCTTTTCCCTGAAGAATAAATAATGCAATTTTAGATCCATTCTGGAAGAATGAATTTTGGTCATCCTTTCTCAGTCAATCTTCGCCAAGTCAGACAAAGTCAAACTACTGTTGAGGGAGGACAAAGCAGACCTTTTAATTCTGAAGAACAAAATCTTAGTAGATCCCAAAGGAAATCAAGAAACCATACAATGCTGTACTTACACATAAACTACACTAAACTATACTACACTAAAATGTAATTTGTTTTGCTCTAGGTTGGCATAATAAATGAATTCAGCCAATGTTTTGTGGCTAATGTATCTTAGCATTATGTATGTATGTATGTATGTATGTATGTATGTATCAGTGCATTTTCGCTTATTCAGTGTAATAGTTAAAACAAACCATGGGAAGAGATAATACAGGTAGAGCTATCATATCTGGGCTGCAAAAATTCAGATAACCATGAAATAGCATCAAAGAATTGGAGCTTTCTGTATCTTTTTGCTACCATCTCATGGTCATCTGGGGATTTACAGCCCAGCCCAGTTTTGTTAGCCCTAGATATGTGAACCCAGTAAATATAAAGTTTTTAAACTCTACGTTGCAGAGTCAAAGAGTTAACAGAGTGCAAAGAAAAACAATAATAACAACAACGCAAAGGAGCCTAAAACACAGTGCACTTACTCTGACTCTTCAAGAGCCACTGTCTTGGTATAGAAGTCACTGGAGTATAATATCACATTGGCAACTTGTTCCACTGAAGAAGGAATTAAATACCAAATTATCAAATAATCAAATAACAGAAAGAAGAATGGGATCTAGGATAGTTTTCAGCATTGCCTAATAAGGAAAATTATTCAGGATCAAGGATATTATGCAGCTGTTGCTTCTTTTTGTGGTTAAACACACCTTTCTTACAGAATGATAAACATTTTGCTTTGCAGAATGGGCATAACATTTAGTATTTAAATGATACTGGCCGATCTTAAGGAAAAAAAGAGAGGGGAGGTAGGAAATCACCAGGAAATCCCAGGTCATCATCACCAGGATGAGGGCAAATACAAACTACTTTCATATTATTAAGTCTACATGGATATGTAGAGTATTTAGTAATTGAGTTGAGCTCAACTCAAGGATTTTTTTTTAATCTTTTAAAATGAAATATAAATAGCAGTTCTTATAAATTTGATTCTGTCAAGTAGATCAGACAAAGAAACCAAAGTTATAAATGCTAATACTTTTATAATACAATAACAGAATTTTGCAAGTTTGAATGTATCTCTCCCCTCCCTCTCTTTATCCTCAAGAGAATGGGGGAAGGTCAAGTCTGAGATGCTTTCTCAAATTACATTTCTGCTTCAGACTTGAAACTCTTCCTCCTGTTTTTCAAGACAACACTTACTACCCATTACAGAAACTATTTACATGGATAACATGTTATTATAACTCTTTTAATCATGGTGCTGTATTAAGCCAATAATAAAGGTAAGGACAGAATTGAAATTGCTATCTAACAGACTAGGAAAAAAACAAGAGGGCCAACATCAGACTTGTTTGTCAAAAATGAGTATTATACCTGACACAGTGATCTTCTTAACCGTTTTTTCTGTATTATTTATCACTGTCACTGTAACAGGGATTGCTTCACCATGATAAAACACCTAGGAGAATTTGATTAGTTTAGCCAAAAGTTCATCACACAGTACTTTTTACATCTAGTTTTGTGAAGTAGCATAGTCAGACAGAAACAAAATGATTGTGTCTTCTCTACATCTCTTGAATTTACTAATTTATCATATTCGTAAGTCAAGAACACCTCACCTCTTTACTGAGGCAAGCTTTCAAGTGCAATGGCTTCTTGGACAGGAAAAACTGCCAGGTGGTCTCTGCATGAGGCTGAGGTCCTGATACTTCTGGAGCATATTGGACTTTGCGTATAAGCAGGCGTACAGAATGTCTTAGGGTAGAAATTGGGTTTAATAGCAATAGCACTTAGACTTATATACCATTTCACAGTGCTTTACAGCCCTCTCTAAACAGTTTACAGAGTCAGCATATTGCTCCCAACAATCTGGGTCCTCATTTTACTGACCTCAGAAGGATGGAAGGCTGAGGCAACCTTGAGAGCCAAAACATAAGTAATTAAACTCTATTATTAGTGATTATGGAAGCCACAAAACCCATAAAGATGAAAAAAACAGCATCTGGATAGCAGCAATCATTGACAGCAGCTATTGTTGTAGAATCCATGGTTACAGGAGGCAGCACCCTCTGAGTTATGTGTGAGGTAACAGCAATGTTGCTGATCTTTCTGTTCATCAAGAAAGGGGACATATTGACTTCCTTTTTGCTCCTACATTTTCAAGGCTGTATCTCACATATAGTAAAGAAGTTGAGATGGAAAAGGTATAGAAAAGAGGAAAATAATAAGGGGGCTAGAACAAGGCATTTTATCCAGTATGTTTCCTTTTTACAAATGACATTTCATTTTTTTTCATCTCCATCTCCTGATTTTGATAGTTGAATATAAAATAAGATCTATCTTTTCTATGTTTGTCAGCTTTTCCAGTTTTAGTCAATTCTTTTTCAAAGAAACAAGATATTACCTCTTGAGAATCCTTTCCTCTGGATCATCTGTAGAAAAAGCTTTGACCTCAAAGTCCACTCCGCAGCACTATACGAAAAGGATGGGGAGACAAAGAGTTGAAACAATAACTTCTTGTTGCTGAATGTATTAAATATCTGTGTATGAAAGAACTCACATTTTGAAATTCAAAAATCTGTCCAATCGAAATTTCAACATAAAAATCATTCTTAATGTTTTCTTCAATATATGTATGTTATTTTTCTAATTTTACTTTTTGTATATCTTTTTCAAAAAACCAAACAGAAACTTCTGATGGCAATCCACTATTTTCCATACATACCTTATTGGTCTGTGATACACTT